TAATTTGATATAGGGGTTTAGTTATCTACAGCTTAAACTGCACGCGCTACATCGCTTGCGTGCGAGACACCCCTGAAGGTATACTGTAACCTTAAGCGTTTAAAAGAGGATTTTTATTGCGGATTGTGCTTTATGCAATATCGGATAAATTTGCGCTCACCAGCAAACTGATAATACAAACAACATTGTCTATACATGCAACTTTAGATCTACAAGCGAGTTGTATGCGCGATAGGTCAAGGGTCAACATTAAATTTATGTTTTGGTGAGCGCTGTTTAGCCCAGACTTTTTGCAGTCTTGAGATGAATTCAATTGAATGAGCACTGTCAGAGCAGTGTATGAGCACTGAAATATCTGAACTAAACTTATTTGTGAACTGAAATAAACTGTATTGGTGATTTCTCTTAGGGACATCTATCACAATATTCTTTTACGTTGTATTATTTCATAAAAATTTTTTAAGTCTCTTCGCCAGTCATTTCGAAAAGTAAACAAAAGAGAAAATGGTGAATTGCATTATTCAGCTCAAAGAGGAACAATTGAACAAAGGGAACAAGTAAGCTTGCAATGCAAGATATCACTTGGATTCTCAAAACTCAACCAGTATGCAAAGCTAGTTACAATACAGCTACTTCCCACACAAGTTGTACCTTACTTTTACTTTTAAGTAAGTTTAGCCATCAGCCTGTCTGTTTATGTTCCAATTTTCTTCGAACAATTTTAGAAATTGCACATACACGTCGTTACTTCTGCATGCATTGCATGCCGTTTATTTTTATATCTGGGATTCCAGGATATCCAAACACGCAGTTTGCATTCTGTGGTTCGTTTCTATCTCGCTGTAAACGTTACATTGATCGCGACCTCAATGTCAAATTCAGAGCAAACTGATAAAAGTTTCTATAGAGCGGATGAGAATTAATAATTATAAACAACTTCTGGCAGAAACCTGTCGGTATTTCACCCACTTGCCTCTTGTCTCATTGTCGGTGGAAATATTATTATTCCTCCCAAGGTAACCATGCTGCGATTTAACTTGTTCAATAATTTACGTTTTCATTGTCAGGAGCATAGATGATAGATCACGACATACAGCTTTTTACTAGTATTTGCTCATGAATGAAATTTGAGCCACTTGCTCAACTCATTGCTTAGCACCTGACGAAAATCTTCCCACGAATACTGACCACTGAACAATTCCCGAACAACTTTAGCAATCTTCACATTTGATTTATAAAACGAGAGCAACCTCAGCTGTGTGTATTCTGACGTTCGAAACATTCTCATGATCGATGCAAACTTCACATAAACAACTCTCAACGCGAAGTTTTATGTGTGAATGAGACTACAAAAACGTGACATCTCATGTGACACAAGTTTGAACACGTGAAAGTTGTAAAACTGTAATGTCGCTCGTTGCTTCAATTTTTTGTTGTTTCAATTTTTTGCTTGTTTGTTTGTTGTTGTTGCTCTTCTTTTTAAATGCTTGTTTTTACATAATCTCCAGAATGGCTGTAGTTTTTAATGTAAATTTTTTAGTATTTAAAGTACAATTTTATGAATAGCTGTATTTTATATGTAAATGCTGTAATATGTAAACACCAGTGATTCAGTGATCACTGATTGGCCTTTCAGGTTAAATAAAGTCTTTTATTTATTTTTGCTTCTCGACTATGAATTCTGGACTCTGAGGAAAATTTATTATTTGGAGCAAACTCTTATTTTGAGGAGTATTTTTACGTAAATTTTCGCGTCAAAGATGAAAATGCTTATAGCAAACAGGCCGGCATGACGCTTTAGTATTCGTACACGACAGCGAAGACAGTGAACTATTTATTTATGTTGATACATCATAGTGTCGTATCTTGACTTAAACTGAAATGTAGAGACGCTGTAATAGCATATAACTCAATATTTACAATGGATTCTTGAGAAGTTAACAATGCTACAGCAGGGCCTTTTTGTAATATCAGGGACACCTGATTTATCTCCGGAACATGAAAGATGGCATTGTAAAGTTAATGAATTGAAACAAAAGGTATGTTAGCCTATTCAACTCTACCGTGTCTTACTGTTTACCACGGTATTGTATGCCGCAGCAAACCTAGGTAAAACCTCGGTAAAATTTCAGGGCGAGAATGCGGTGTTAATCTGCGAATCGGCCGCAGCAAAACCTGGATAAAATTAATGAGTAACTACTTTCAGGCAGTACTGCAGATAAAGTCATCTAATCATCATAAATGAAAAATAAATCAAATTTAAATACAATTTTGAACGATTTGTATTGAAAATCTTCACAGTATGCTAATAAATTTTATTATGCTACTTACTTATGCAAATCAATTATTCAAATCAATGTCTGGCCAAATTGATAAGATGTCTGACCAAAATGAAGATTTGAAAGGACACATGTCATGTTAAAGAAGAAAAATTATTTCCAGCACTGAATGGGGGTTTGGTTGAACCCCCTAATTGAAAAAAAGCAGACATAACAAAATGCTGGCTTGGCCTCAGAATACTGGAAATCATATTTCCCAGGACCTCAATTTTCTGAGGGAGAATGCTCCCTGGACCACAGTATTCAGAGCTAATTAACTAATTAAGTAGATAGCATACATGTAGAATGGACAGTTTGAGCTTTTATTGGAAAGCAAGTGTTATAATATATACAAGTATTCTGGTAGAAATATTAGGCAGCATCTACACTACGCTGGATAAATTTGAAAGTGAAGGGGAGAAGTCAAATTATTTTTTATTCTACTTGTTTTTAATTTCATGTGCTTCTCTTCAAAGTGATTTTTTTGGAGTTAGGCAAGAGGCAGTTTAACATTCAAGGAGTCGAACACAACCTTTGACGGATTGAAAACATTGATTCAAGGATACCCAGCGCATGATTCAGGAAATAGCAAGCGAGCACATGACCATGAAAGTGATCAAAACTAAGAAGATTCCACGCAGGTCAGACGGGTTTATCACATTCAAACATGTCAGAGAATGACATCCATTTTGAGGTTCAAGTGTTGCAATGTCGTACAGAAAAACATTAGTCCAATGCTGAACCAAGGTCATTGTCCTTCAAAGACAATTTGAGAGATCAATTTGCAGCTTAGCAAATACTGCAAAAAGGCTGTGATGACAAGCCAAACTCTCCTAAATTATAAAGCTTTGTAGATAAATAGTGGCAGCCAAGGTAAACATCTGTCATGGAAACACAAGGTAAACTGAGCTGTGAAAGTCACAACTGTTTCAGCTTGTAGAATATAATGCAACAAATGAATGTAACATCGTGAAGAAGATTAATGTTACATCACCACATATGCACAGCAATTTTTAAAAAAATGACAGCAAGGTTTTCCTCTTTTTCCAATCCGCCAACAACAAAATCCAACTTCAGCTTTTCATAATGGTTTTTTGAATTGCTCCACATGGAATAATGTAAGTATACAAAAAGATTTAAGTCCCAATTGCATCACATTGCTTTGGGTGTCTTATAGGAAAATACCTACAGAACAATTTACATGAAAATGGGAAGTCCTTGATTTAATATTGCCTACCAGTGACCTCTGGATTAATGTTGCGGTAAATGTGAAGAACAGCTCCAAAAAGATACTGTCAGTCATATGTCAGCTGACTGTAGGCCATTTGTCTGTTAATTGTCAGCCAACTGTTGACAAACTGCAGGCTGTTTGTTGGCCCACAGTAAGCCATTTTGTTAGCCAACAGCACCTGACATTTGGCAGCCAGTTTTCCTCAATCTCTACATATTGGATATTGGATATATAACTAGTGTACTTTGTACTTATTTCACCTCATGTATTATATTGTTCACTGAAAAACCTTTTAAGGAGTGTACAATAAAATTTTATCTTTATCTTATCTTATCTTATATTTTGTTGCTATTGATTAATCAGACATACAGGAAGTATACCATGGTTCTGGAAAGCATTAAAGGGCAATTGATTGCTTGGCTTTCTGGTTGGCTCTCCGCTAGTTTGTTCTCACAATGTGGATTCAACAAACCTACTCTAGTGCACAAGCAGGATATTTGTGATAACTTAAAATATTACAGCCTTCCAAGTTCTAAAAGTCACTGCTAAACCCTTGTTGTAAGTTACAGGATTGTGTGGGAAAATGTAATGGATGACAAAAATACTGTCCATGAGTACAATGTAATGACTGCTGGATACGTCAGATTTGGTTGTACTTACAAAATTTCCTATAGCCGCAATGTAAAGTGTCAGAACTAATACAGTTGCTACCACTCTGCAACTAGTTTGAGATGCAACAAGTTTACTTGAAATGTTCCTCAAAACACGTGGTGCATTCTAGTGAATGAAACAAAAAGGAATGTTTAGTTACAACAGAAAAACCACACACTACCTGCAAGCTACAGAAGAATAAAGAGCAATTAATTCCTTCCACTTACTGTTCAGTTTATTTAGTAGAGTGAACTAAACATTAACATGAATGGTGTTGTACATAATCATTAACCATATTTTTGAACACATTTTGGAGTAATAGATGAGATTTCAAATATAAGACAGGGCTAAAAAAAAAAACCCTGTCTGCTCGTCCGTGACAAGTATGTTTTCCTCTTGGGCAAGTAACTTTCTCTCCTCACTAGCCCCATGGGCAAGAGCCCAGGCAAGTCGTCACCCGCCTAAATTTTTGATAACAAGTTTGAAATGAGGAAATTTTAGGCACATGGGTAGTGTAAGGATGAAGCTTGACTAAAATTCCAAATTAAAGCAATATTTGGTTGATTGCGTAACGCCTGTTCACAGTTCAGAAATGGTTACCTAGCATGGGATCAAAATTTGCCTCGAGCAAATTTCCTTCCATGACTAAAAATTTATTTACCAGTTTCGCTGTATAAAATCAAACTCAACATAATTGTATCACAACTGTAGAAGCTGAATAGGAAAAGAAGCCGTATATTTCTACCACGAAAAAAGAAGCCACTGTCAACAACTAAATAACTAGGTCCCTGTGACGATCTTTGGCAAAACATACAAGTTTTCTGGTAGAAATATAAGGCAGCATCTACACTACACTAGAGAAACTTGAAACTGAAGGGGAGAAGTCAAATAATTTTTATTCTACTTGCTTTTTAATTTCACGTGCTGCAAGAGGCAGTTCAACTTTCGAGGAGTCGAACACAACCTTTGACGGATTGAAAACATTGATTCAAGAATACCCAGTGCATAATTCAGGAAATAGCAAGCCATTACATAACCATGAAAGTGATCAACACTAAGAAGATTCCAAGCAGGTCAGACAGGTTTCTCACATTCAAATATGCCAGAGAATGACCCATTTTGGGGTTCATGTATTATTAATGAGTTTGAAAACCTGGGCAAGCAGGGAAGTCCCCCAGGCAAGCAACATTTCAGAGTTACTTGCCCAAAGGGCAAGCTGGAATTCAAGTATTTTTCGAGCTATAAAAAGAGTTAAGACACAATATTTACTTACCACACACTTCTCAGCTACAACTAGCAAGAAAACAACACCAACAACAAGAAAGGTGCAAGCAAAAAGAGCCATGGTCACATACGTTCTGAGAATAAACAAACCAACAATAATTTATCAGTAGATTTAGAAATACCTAAGTAATCTAAACATAAACATTGTTCTCTGTAGGCACTGGAATCCAAGAAAAATATTGCTGTTTAGTAGTCCTCGGTTTATTGAGGGGGACATTGTGGGGCACCCAATACCGCAATACCGCAAGCAAAATTGGCAAATACCGAAATACTGTGTCGAAAATTGACAAAATACCGATACCGCATTTAGATCCCTTTTTTATTGGTCACACTCACTAAAGTTGCATCCATCTAGCGTGTTTATTTATCTCAAGCACGTATGCATTATACATCCCTGCATTTTGGTCATTTTGGTAGTTTGACGGTGAAGTTATTCGCAACTTGCTTACTATTCACGGAAGGAAAACTGCATTTGTTCAACCTTCTGGTGGGTGAATACAAAACAAAAAGCATGGAGTGAAGTGAGAGCTCTTGTAATGGATAAAAATCCTCTTACCTTTAACCGGTTTCCTAGTTTTCTCATCACGTATAGGCACCACCTTTTCCCACCCTACCTCCAGTGAGGGAAAAGCCCTGGGAACAAGGCCAGTCTATAAGCTGCCGAAGCTAGCAAGTCACCCGTTATGTTTTTTTCAGTACAATAAACAGTTGTTGAAATGAATAACTCTTCCCAGGGTTGGGCCATACTGTCAGCCAAAAGGATGAATCAAAGGGCTCTATGAGCCAACTCATTCATGCTCTTAGCATGAAATGATTAAGTGTTTACTGTGTATTATAGTGTTTATTAATGTTCATGGCACATCAATAAGCGTCAAGCTTCTACCTGACATGTATCTTAGCTATCAGCAGGCTTACCATTGACTGGTTGATTGGGTAAATGAATCATTTGCTGTACAATAGATTAGGACAATATAGCATTGTTCTGTGTTCTGTTATCAAGCATTTGTGTTCATTGTTCAGCAAATTAAATGTTGTGTTGTCAATACGAAGTGAAAGCCTTATTTTCACTGTTTGCTTGTTACAGTTTATGTATGGTAATTTATTCAAAGAAAATGCAAGTGATTAGTGCAACATTTGTCAGAACTGACCTTGAGAAAGCTTTTGTAACTGTTTTATACATGTACCATGTTACAAAAAACACAGGTCAAAATTAATGGTGAATATTCTATATCATATGCATTATATGTAGCCTATTTTGTTATTTTAGTGGAATGCACGGTGTGAAGCAGATAAATAGATAGACACCTTTTTTTAAAAGTAAAAATCCAAGGGTAAAAATTTCAGGGTAGTCCCTTCAGGGAGCTTACAAAGCACCTCTGCTATCAATAGGAGCCCTGAAGCTATTTTCTCTTGGGTTTTTATTGAGGCTTGTGCCACTTGTGGTCCATTAAATACATATTATCATGTCATGATATTCAAATGCACAATGTCTTGTTCACAGCATTCCAGAAATGTGGGTTGTTTATCATTTACACAGAAAAATCAGCTTGTCAACAATTTGAGCAAATGGTAAGCAAAAATGCTAGATGGCAAGTTCTGTTCAGATTGGCTATTAACCATTTCCTCAAAAAACTCCAATTTAATAAAAGTTTAACCTGATCATAATTCCAAGATGGCAGTGAAGAAGTTTCACAACAAAGATATTAGGTAGTCTGACAGTTTATTAACAGTCTTGATTTCTGGTGGTGGAAATTTTTCAACACACCATTTCAGTGTCTATTAATCCTGGTTGTAGTGGTATTATTTGTAACAATATGTTTTATATTTATATTTTAATGAATACGAGACAGTCTTAATGACTATGTCAATATCTAAGTTGAGTTGGTTGAAGCTGTGATAGTGAGCTACCTGTACATCAGTTATCCATTAATAAAGTCAAAAGTGTGCAAGCTTGGTTTTCGAAGGAAGCTTCTTGTCTGATGAAGTCAGTTTACGAAGAAAATCCACCCTGCACCCGAAGCATTTATCATTGAAGTTCTTGAGTCATCATTGTCATTCATTTGACTGTATCATTGTTTAAAATAATAACTAATTGTTTTTTTTTATTAAATAACTATTATGGGTAGCCAGGAATAATCCAACAGATGTAACATTAACTGCTGCCCCTGAAATTCAATTGATAAAAAATGTTAAGATAAAAATAAAAATAATTTGGAAGTCACCAGAAATAGGGCACATCCCTGTTTAGTCGACTCAGGCCTAGCTGGACAGGATTTTAAGAAAGCAACACACACTGCAGATAACTCTGATCAACTCCGTTTCCAACAATCTAAGATATAGGCATTGAATTGATTATTCACCTGCATTTTGATCCCATTTGGGTGACAGTCATGGTTACCAAATGTCACACAGCTTATAAGATTGTCAGTTTGTGTTTCATGGTTAGATTCATTAATTCACCTCATCGATCCGGGCCTGTACATGTGTAACACACAAGCGATGATAATCAGCAAGGAAGTACAGTTTCTTCTTTATGAAATTCAGGACATCATCTATTATTTGACTCGAGGCCATTATTATTTAACAAACAAAGAAGCCTAAGCTGTGTATTACACTTTGATAAGACACAATGGGCATTTGAGAACACATGGGAAATGTAGAAAACACGAGCCACAGGCGTAACCCGTAAACACTGACCCCTGGTCTGCAGACCCCCGCTATGGGCCAGGTCTGCAGACTACCCTATGGACCAGTCCATGGACTACCCAGGGCCCAAAGTTAGCGACCAACTGGTCGCATATGTGACTAGACTTTTGGCTGTGCACCTAATAAATCATGTGTGGTCGCACCACTGTGCCTTAAAAGCCAAAGTACAGTGCGATTTCTCTAGTGCTTACTCACCTGACTATACTAACGTACTCCGATTAATAAATATAAACATCAACATAGATGTAACACAACCAGGCACCAAAAAATAAAGTTGCACCATTTTCCTTTCATTGGTGTGTGTTCTATTCATCATCTTTAAGCATAATTTCCCAGTGGATTCTCCGAACTCAAGCGTTCATTTCTTCCCTACGTTCTGTGTTGTAAACAACTCTGCTGACACATGCAAATGAAGGAATGAAGCACGTGCTTCTGGCACAATCAATGATCATGTCAAAGTTTTAGTTCGAAGGTCAAGGGAGTCAAGAGCATGTCTAAAAAAACCCAATCTGGATTAAGGGCCTTTTTTTCTTCAAGGTAAGAAAATCAGTAAATTAACAATTAGTTAATATATCACAGTTAAGTCATTCTGCAATCAACAAATTCATAAAACATTACTTTTGTTCTCTTGTGACATGCTCATTTGCATGACAATAACTTCTTATAAACAGCCACCTTTTGCCTTCAAATATAAATACAGAGAGTACATCCTCAAACAATCCCACATGTACTTCATCAGTCAGCGAGAATGAGGATGAGCCAGCGACTAAGAAAAGAAAGGCATATAAATTTCAGAGATCATGGTTGCAGGAATTTGCGTGGCTAGAGTGGGATTTGGAAAAGTTGACGTAAAAAACAATAGTTTTGTCACTATCTTTTGGTTCAAGTAAAGTAATCAGCAGAGCCTGAAAAGAAAAAACACAGGTCTGAAATAAAATAACATGCTGAACTAAAGATGACTAATAAATGTCTTAAAGCTATTACTTTCTGTTTTTACTGGGGCTTCTGTAAAGCTAGCCCAAGTCAGAAAATGCAGATCGTTCTTTTTCTTGGTTGCAAAATGGGGGTCATAGTGCCAGGCAGTCCTAACAGAAAGTGTGGAAACTGTGGATGAGAATTAAATTGTGTGCTCGTTCTTCGCGAACAACAGTTACAGAATGCTGCGTTTTGTAAAGAAAGCTTTGTTTTCCCTTGTCTGACATACAAAAATGTCCAGCGTTTTCGGAACAGGCCAGTCCACAAATTCTGTGGCTTGAAAGCTAGCCAAATGAGCAAAGTTCGAGCTAGTTCTCACGAATACCCAGATGTTGGAAAAAATCAATCTTCGTGAACAGAATTTCAAAGGCAAGGCAAACAACAAGCAATTGGATAGTTAGGATGCTCAACAAAGTGACCTCAGTAGGTAATATCTAAGCTTAACTCTTGTGTGAAATATCCTGATTTTTTTATTTGTTTTTATTGTGTTCAATACTGCTACAATAGGCCCATATTGCAACACAAAGCCCAAGTCGCTCTTTTTGGAACGTTAAGTGTTCTTTTGGAGTAGGTGCTCCAAGTATTTGAAGTGTGCCTAGAAATTTACACCTGGTTGCACAAGTGCTACCAAAGCCAAAAATAAAAATACGGACCCCCTCTTTAGACCACCCCAAAATAGTGCAAAAATAATAAATAGAGATTTCACTTAAAGGTTGTCTAATAGATTACTCGTGTCGGTGAAACTTAGAGTGTTACACTATGTAAATGTGACAGACTTGGGTTTTTAACACCCCGTAAAAATACCTAAAAGCTGCTTTCAGAGTAAGGAGATGCCGAGCAAAAAGAAGGAAAGTTCTTACCGCAGTCTTACCTTCCATTCGTGGCTCTATCTGGCTATGGAAGATGTGTTTTTAGGTCGTTTAAGCTTGTTTGCATCTGTAATTCTGCTGAGCAAATTGCGAAGCCTTGAACAAGTTCACAAACCCACTGGAAAAAGGGCTGGACAAAATGGCAGAGGGGAAAGAGCACAAATTTCGAGGATTCCCAGAGGCTTCCCAGAGGCTTCCTGAAGACCTCCTGGTCTTTCATATACTGTATGGCCACAGCAAAGGAAATGGCAATGTGTAGTGATATAAATTGCACCTGAGCCTGAACCCAAGTCAGTTACATTTGCACAATGTAATGTTCGAAATTTTTCCGACATGAGTAATCTATTAGACAACCCGTAACTAATTTTTATTCCATTTTGAGGGGTGGTACATAGAGGATTCTGTAGGGAAAATCTGTAGACCGGACCATAGGTGGTCTGCGGACCTGCTCCATAGTGGGGGTCCATGGACAGGGGGTTCAGTGTTTTTGGGTTACCTGTTGTCAAATACCTGTCGTGTTTTAT